ATGTAGATCAGAACTTCGAACGGTCGGTCCCTGAGCTATACGTTAAAGCACTGTATATCCGATTGCATTACAGACCCATTCCTCTTGCGGGATGCGAATAAATGAATCTAAACGGAGCTTTCCACTTCATACCCAACTCTGCCCCCTGCAGCAACGAAATCGTTCAGTTCACTAACATCACGATTTTAGACAATTTTTGCGCTACACGATCTACCTACATTTTTACTTTCTATTTTCTAGCTGGATGGTTCTTTATTTACCTCTAAACATCCGGAGTTGTATATGAAGTTTAAATTCGAAAACTTACACATTTTTGGAGATTAAGCTTCAAAAATTACCAACTCTGCCTTGATCACAAATGTCGGAAACATTATAGTGGAACCCCTCATTTACGTATTAACAATCAAGATCACAGTCAAACAACAAAAAAGCGTGATGAAATTTGGAACTCGCGGGACGCCTCGTTAGAATCACTGCCGCTCGAATTTTTTCGCTCCGAATTCGCGCCGCGCAGCTGAGCGGGTCTGCTCTTAATTTCAGTCAAATGGCAAAACAAGTAAAGGTACAACACCCGTCGGAAATTGATTCCATTCCCCACATTTTCCCCTCAATCAACAAACGATCTTCTAAAAGACAAATGAACGCACAATTTCCAAATTGTGCAGCACACCGACACGGTTCGCAGGTGAAACGAACTTAGTTGGAAATGCGGAGGCAATCAATTTATTCGGTTTCCGAGCGTCGCGCATCCATCGCTGCCGCCAGGCTGCAGACGTTTCCCGGGTCCAAACGCCTGCGTTGCCTCGCCGTCGCATACATGCGCATACACTCCACTTCACAAGGATCACAAAGCACAAGACTCAATTGAAAAGTAGCCCAGATGTTGAGAAATTGTCATGTAGAGTATGATACACAATTTTTATTATTTTTGGAATCACATAAATGGACTCGTTGGTGCAATTAGTACTTTGATGTATTAATTAGTGATTCCGGGCGCGTAAAATGCTAAGGTCATTAGTCCTGTAGTGCATGTTTAATCGCGGGAGGGGGAGGTGAGCCTCTCCCGCTGGATGGCAAGATTCAGCGCCGATCCATCCGTCGGCTTGGGGTGTTTCCTCATCCAAGTATCTCCCAACAGCGGGGCAGCGCTCCAGCCGGTACGAACTGCAAGCTCCCGACTGGTGTCTGACAAAGGATGGTAGTACAGTGCACGGAAGTGTAAGCAAGGAGTGATAGGACGAAGAAGAGGAAGGAAAGGTCGCGTGCAGTTCTTGGCCCGTTTACTGGGGGGGGGGTACTGTTCCGACATTCGCCTGGTGTTGATCCGAAAAACCACGGCAAGCTACCGACCGGAGCAGACTTCTCCATGCTAGGTCCTAGCTAGCGACATAGCTGTGTCGAATATCATGTTACCGTCGGGAGTGAAACTGTAGGACCACCCGGTCAGAAGCAGTGCAGTGGTATCAATTGATGCCCTGAGCTACCTATATATCGCTGAAAATCAAATTTTCGCTTCAATTTTATCATGATGTATTACAAGTATTTAACTATTTCTTCAATTTAATTTTACGTTGATTTTGAATTACTGCTCATATCTGATCACGGAGTCGGTCAAAACGAGAATTTTGTCAGGAGAATTTTGGAGACGTTAGTGTGTATGTAAGGTGTAGAAAATAGGAAAAGGAGAAGGAAGGGAATATCGCGCGCGGTTCGAAGCCCGTTTGTTAAGATCCTGCTCCAGCATTCGCTCTGATCGGAGAAACTACGGAAACTACTAATCAGAGCAGCCGGCCGCTAGAATTCTCCTCCACACAATGGCCCAATTGGACATATCTAGCTAGAGTAGAAAAATCTTCCACTGTCAATCAACATATTCATTTCAATTTCACAGGGTCTCGAAATCGTTCAGATCAGTCGGAGTTTATCAAATTTGAAAAAAATCGTCTGAACGGTTAAGGAACTAGCGTTGACCGCGGACGGACGAACGGACAGATGCCGTCAATTTATTTTTCGGCGTCTCTTGATACCGACACTCACGAAAGGTGAATTCTGACTTCATGTTTCGGTAGAAAAAACTTATTATATTTCTTACATATCGGGATTTATCCACTTCTTCAATTCCGGACCCGACAATAAGAGTTTTCTGTCGAAAACCTGCCTATTGCTACGACATTTAAACAAAAAACTGTTCGTAAAGTTTAGATCTTTAAAAAAGTTCACGTACAATTTTTAAACGACTTTTTCCCGACATTTCTGCTTAAATACAACGCGATGCATACAAAATCTTAAAACATCTCCAAACTTTTTGTTTATTTTTTGCACGGGAAGTGCAATGGACGTTTGAAAAATGGGGCAAGCCTAATTTTTGTTGAACTTCATGAATTTTCGAAACTTACAAAAGTTAGAAATAAAACAAGAAAGTATGTACTGTTGTAGCACCATAATACGTTCCCTTATATGTGCATTAGATCTCAGAACTCTCCAGAATCAAGAAATATTACGCAAAAATTGTTCGATTTGAATATTTTCTTGAAAATGCTCTGCCTAACCAAAAAGTAGTTCATTAATTCAGTATACTAGTGATTCTTCAATAACATATATTTTCTCGCAATGCTTCTAACTCTTGAAATTTTCAAAAATCGTGCTCTTCAACGAAAATGAGACCTACGCCCTTTTTTAATTTAACATTAATTTTGTGGCATATTATAAACATTACATATAATTAACAATCTTAGAGGTAGTTCCAGAACGGGGCTTCTAAACAGTTATTTTAATTTTTCGTGATTTGTTACTATTGAATAGCTAATAAGTAAAATTATGGAGAATGTAATAAATCTTTCAAATAACTAGATTTAATTCGGGGTAAACGGTTAGCTGACTTTCCGAATTGGAAAGTTTGTGTCGCTGAGAAAGAGGTAAGAGAAGAGTAGAAACTGTTTGATAATTTATTTATTCGTGTTTGAAGGGGTTCAAAAGAAAGTTCTCTCTGAATTTCATTATTTATAATAAACCATGGAAATTTTAAAACATGTCTTAAGAATCTATTTTGAATAACTTTGAAAATTTGTTTTTACTGTGCCCCCCGTATTGGATGCATATGTGAGGGAAGGACGGATTATTATTTTGTATATTGTGAAAGCTGTTTCAATTTTGATGAGAGATTTTTTTATTTATAAGTGTGTACAGTTTAAGTATTTTAATATTTGTTTTATTCGCCGTGTGTATTAGATGATTTTTTCCAAGTTAACTTTGTATCTATGTGTATGCCAAGATATTGAACAGCTGTATTTAGAGATAGCCATTGAATTATTGTGTTATTAATTTTCAGTGAATTCATATTTTTTATTCACCTTAATGAAAATACCTTTTCTTGACATTTTGCATGGTTAATATTTATTTGCAAATTATTAAACCAATTTGTTAAGATTTGTAAATTAAGTTGTAAGTTGTTTTGACTTTGTAAGAGATCATGATGTGAAGTGTATAAAGTTGTGTCATCCGCAAATAATGCCATTTCTGAAGTTTCAAATAATAGTAGGTTATAGATAAAGATATTAAAGAGCAAAGTAGAAAGTGGGAATCCTTGAAATACTTCGGTTGAAATTGGATATTCATCAGATAATTCTGTGTTAATTTGCACTAACATTGTTTATTACAAGAAAAGCTGCTCTTGTAATAAACAATATTGTTGGCAACTCATACAATTATTTCATTGTAAATGCCAACGAAAACTCACAACTATACCAATATTTCTCGTACTAGTTATTTTCTTATCTTTTCAGTTTGTACTACCTTTCCGGTTTTGCCTCACCCTTCTTTCAGCTGCCATCTAAGGGCCCCTAAAGCAAATTTTTCTTGTTTACTCAATTTTTCAAATCCCTATTAGTAGAATTGAAATATGACTTTAAGAATATAGCAGAAGAGCGAAATTTGGTTATATATTGCAATCGTTCTCCCCTGGGTTCAACAGCCGTGATATCTGTGGTAAGTGTCATACATTTCCAATGCCTTTTACTGAGAACTGTTCAAAAAAACTTGTGGAAACCCTCAGGTCCTATGAGGCTTCTTTTGGATTTATGAAGATAACAGCGACGTGGAATCCTTGCTTTAAGAATCGAATGATTTGAGAAATTCGCTAATAACTACAATTTGTATTCCGCTAGTGGGTCACATAAAACATATACACATAGAAAGAAATACACAGAAACAAAAAAATACAAAACGTATTAATATATACAGCTAATCTGTGACAATACTTAATTTGCACTCCACCTGACATTTCTATCAATTGAAATTAGAAAACATCTTCATTCGTGAGTTTATATTAATGTAATAAAATGTGTAATTCTTATTAGTAAAATTTCAAATAAACTAATAATATACGAATTTTTTCACTGATCTTTAACCAGTACGTCAGAAAGATTGTGTTTTCATAATTCAATAAAGATTGCTTCTAGTTAAATAATTTAACACTGACTCAAATAAAATAAATCGACAGGAGCGGGGTCTCGGAACTTGTATTTGACCTTGGTTCCAAAGTACCGTTGACTTTTAACCTTTACGTCTCACCCTTTTATTCTGCAAGTTTGTTCTTGCGCCTAATTTGCACATTTTTACACGGAAAATCATAACCAAACGTCGTGTACATAGTTTGGTTAAGATTCACTGACATGAAAACTATCGTGAAGTTTTTGATCTTACTTCACACTGTAGTTTTCGTACAACGATAATTATCTTCTAATGTTTCCGTTACAGCAACAATCTGCCGGCTCTACTCTCCAGAATTGTACGGTTTTTTGACAGTACAATTTTCCAGCAATTCTCCGAACCGTAAGAAGCAATAAGCATGAGTTATATCCTACTAGACATAAGCAACTCGAATGCAAACACAAGTGCAATTAATCGAAGCTGCAATGAATCAGTTTGTGCATAAATTGAAAGTTTAACAAAATTCGTAACACGTAGATACTACCTTTATGTCTAATTCAGTAGGCTCTTACCTCTTTCCGCGAAGTTCGTTCCATTAGCTAAATTATTGGTTGTACGTATTGAAAAGGCACTCTCTCAATCCATCAGCAGTTGTGCAAGCGGTCTTTCTAGTCAGCAGCCTCGACGGATATCGACTGAATTCTCACCCCTTACGGCTAGGTACGGAACGGTTCGGTCCGTTCGTGCACCTTCCGTGGGTAGCACAGATGATTAACTCGCTGCCTAGTTGACTGTCGGCTGTCCCGCGCGTTTTGAAATGCTGAGATGCACGTGCTATTCAGGGGAAAAACATCTTTTAGCTCTCAAGATTACAAAAAAGAATAGTACGAATTATAAGCTAATCCCACCCACGTGATTCTTGTAAGTCTCTCTTTATTAATCTATGTATCTTACCATTACCTTGTCTCTTGATATATGAATCAGTGGATTTTGTTAAAAATGACTTAGTTAAGGGCAGGAATATATTTTCAGCAAACGCTGATATTTATAACTACAATACTCGACGTAGTAATCATATTCATCAGGTGACAATGTCAGCAGCTCACTACAAAAAAATTCACAAACAATACATGTACATTATTTTACAAGACCTTACCAGATTACATTAAACGATTAAATTCGATACAAAAGTTTGTCCCAAGTAAAATCTTTTCCAATGCACAACTGTTTCTATTCAATTAGAGACTGTACTGAGCATCCAAAAGGAAAATAATATTAGTTTTAACAACGACATTTAGTGTATTATTTACCATTTGGATTGTATAGTTCTAAAGAACCTGTAACAAGGTTCCTCAATGTTCGGCTTTGCCGGTGGAAATTCGCTGACACCATTTGAAAACAATCCTATTTCAGAAACTATTCGTGTTAAAGAAAATAAAATCCCCTATTTGGAACCAGGGCGTGACACTTAGTACATCTTACATATTTTCTTTTCTGATGATTTTTCTTTGTTGACTTGACCCTTATTTTGGGGGATAATTCGCACATTCGAATTAAAATCATCTTATAACAATAATGGTACGTGCTAGAGAAATTGTTAGTACATATTTGGAATAAGGGTGTGATGCATAGTAAACCACACGTAATTGTATTTCTAATGATTTTTTATTGTTGACCAGAGTAATTTGACGCACTTTTTTGGATTTTGCTCTCAGCAACATTGCGAAACATTTGGGAATCCAAATTGTGATTGTACAAACAGCTCAAAACATCACGGAAAATAGTGAGAAATTTTCTAATGAAAGATAATATATTCCACAATATGAAATGATAATAATATTAGATTTTGAAAATATGCCACCTAGTTGCTTTTTATTCTGATCCCCTAAAATGAACCCAATCTTTCCATCAAATGAAAAATAATACTCATGTCAGCTCTCATTTCGCACGCTGGATTCTGATCTTTGTTATCCACTCTTCATTCGTTACATCCTGGACAGTAAATGTTCTCTTTTTTAGCCGATACTTCAATTATTTTTTTCTTCGAAGTGGGTTTCTCTTCATTATTGCAAAATTCTGTTCTTTCCGCTGGATGGGAAGTGGATGTAGCTCCAGAATTGCCTTACCCTAGGGATGACTTTTTAAGTGACGAAGTTATCATTATCTCTCATCGCCTAAATGTTTTTTCCTTTCGTTTTCTAGTTTCTGACTTTGAAAATTGCTAGCATTTCTGCTGGAGACAATATTTTATTTCACGCATTAAAAGGTGAAGGGTTCTTTCCAAATCATCTAGATCTAAATGGGGACGATCTGTTACTTCGGACGGGGAAAAAATTATCGACTGAGAACTCGGGATTAAAAGGATGAATTTCCTGTAGTATGTAAGGAGCTCTTCGGCTTCTCCATATTTGCGACACTTGTAGAGGCATTGCGAAGTATGGAACATCGCCAATCTGTTAAATTGCCATTCCCAGAAGATTATGCATCCCTTTGCCAGCTTCAGCAGTGTACATAGTTGTTAGAGTTCCAAAGAATCCTCGGCCCAGTGGTTGAAGTTAGTGACTGGCATGGGGAGGCAACGACAACAGTGTAATGTGATGCTCTCGACAATTCACGACAGATGGAAGACTGCATTGTGATAAATGTTCGTCTAATATTAGAAACACTGGATCAGATGGAGTGGGCTTTACATTGAAGGACTCAGTGAAGTACTCAGGTCACAAAACAGATTAGAGTTTAAAAATGCACTCTTCGATATTGCATTCTATATATTGCACACACAGTTGTCACTGTCTAGCCCGTTTCGGCAGATACTACTTTGCAAACTATCCACATTCCTTTAAAATAAATTAGTTTTAGGACTTTGTTTGGGACACACGATATTTCAGTTTCGCCCCCTACTGAAAATGCGATGTACTAGAAATTTTCGTTCTTCACACAACGATCTCATATTTTCAAAAACAGCGGAGTTTGAGGTCTGTTAAAACTCATAATCCTATCTAGGCTGCAGTTTTGTGCAACCTGAAGTGAACCTTTTGCAGAATTATTTTTCACAGATTAACCCCCTTCTGCTTTGAATCAAAAGAAAATCAATTGAAAATTATTGAATTGTTAAAGTATCTCATTAATTTCTGCATATTTATGTGCTAAGTGCATAAATTGTCTGCCTGTGAAGCCGTAGTAGAACCTGGAACTGATTTACCTGACATTCTTCCACCCCTTTTACTGTTCATCTAGGAATACTCTCTTTAAACGCCCCAGTGTCGTTGAATCAGTTCCCCAGTTCCCATTGGACGTTCTTGTATATTAACTGCATTTATTAAATTAAGATAATTTTATTATATTTAACATAGTTTTTAGCCTTTTCCTCCAAGAAAATTCTTTGGGTCCAAGTGAACTGGCGTACGTTTACTTTCGTCATCTAACAGAATGAGAAAATTACCAGCAAGCCAAAAACAATTTTTTTATCTTCTCTCCTTTTTTGTCATTCAATATGTGTCCGTAAATGCTACTAGATCGTTACTACTTAACACGACACAAAATTACAAATGTGACCATAAAAGCACTTGTTGCAACCAACTGTTGAACTCTTACGGACTCTAAGGTGCCCTTATCGTACCATAAACCAGTACATCACTTCCTACTATTTCCATATGAAAATATATTTCGTTGTTATTTATATTTGTATCTTTTAATACAAATATTTTTTGCATATGTGACCAACAAAACATTATAATCAACTGTTGGACTCTTAGAGACTGCATACTCTAAGATGCCCTTATGTTACTATAAACCTCACATAACTTACAACTATTCCTATTTGCAATTCTATTGGGTTGTTTTCATATTTCTATTTTTAATGTCTATATATAGTTTTATAATATTATGTATAACCTAGGAAGTCAATACGATCTGCGTATGCCTTATGTGTTTGGTTAGGATTGTGGTAAAATACAAAATGGCGAATGCTGCATAGAATAAAGCGCTCTCCTGGTGCATGTCCACCGCATTTTCCCCCGGCATCGCAGCGCACCCACACCCGCAGCGCGATGTTCGCCGAGAGCCAGCGATTGCGCGCGTATTCAGTGAAATGATAACTGTCCGTTAATGCGAGATCAACAAGTCAGTGTCGTGTCAGTGACTAATTGCGCCTCGGGTCCTAGTCGTCGCGTGATGTATGGGATCCCGCCGCGTCACTAAGGAACCAACACATTACTCTTACCATATTGTCTCACTCGCAATCGGTTCCATCATTTGTCATCGCACTCGTAGGCGCGTGCCCAGTCCCCGTTGGGGACAGATGACGGAACGGATAGCGGGTGGTGTGACCCGGGTAAAAAAGTATGGGAGTTGTATGAAAGGTGTTCAACGTTGCTTCAATGTGAAAGAATCAATAAGTATTAACTTGCATTAATGCCCCCGATTCAAAATTATAAACAACAATTAAATACTAAATAATGATAAATAATTTAATCTACACTAATAAACGTGAATTCAATGACATGTAATAGGCATCGGTTCCAGAAAAAGGAGTGCATCAGTAGATACGAAATATTAAGGATTTGACACAGAGTCCTTGCAAAGTTGGTAAAGATTAATACAATGCAAATGCGGAAAATAAATAATTTAAATTATGTGCTGGTAGATGCACCACGATCATTGTTTTTCGCCTGTCGTTAAGAGACAGGTTGCTAAAATATTCCGCCAGAGGCCAGCAGCAGTGCGGAAGAACCGTGTTCCTGATCTCTATGAAAGGTGTCACATCTCCGTGTTTTTTTTCGCAGAAGGTTTTTGTGCTGTTATTTTTTTTGTAATTGTTTTGAGAGAGGAAGAGGGAGACACAGAGAGAGAGACAGAAACTGACAGATAAAGAGAGACAAAGGCAGAAGAAGACAGACTTACTGACGGAGACGGACAGAGACAGGCGGGCAGACAGACAGACAGGCGGACAGCGACAGACGAACAGAGACAGACGCAGAGAAAAAATTAGACAGAGAGAAAAACAGAGACAGGCATAGAGAGATACAGACACGAACCGAGAGAGACACAGACACAGGTAGAGAGAGAGAGAGAGAGAGAGAGACGAAGAGAAAAAGACAGATGGAGAGAGATAGTGAGATGGAAGAAGAAAGAGTGGGGGAGGGAGAAGGAGAGCACGACAGCCTCTGCCGGCTTTCGCTAGTATTAAATAATGTTCATATATCATCAATCTTAAGGACTTGTTAATAAGGGTGTGAATTAAGATTTTCTGCTTTCAAAAACCTTCCATTTATACAGGGTTCGAACTCGCGGACTTCCGTTTATTGGAAATGATACTTTTTATTCTATTGTTTTTATTAACAATATATGTAAAGTACGGGAATATATTTACTGTAGTTAGCTAAAGGTCAAATCGTAAAATACTGTAATTCTTTGACAACACAGTATGTTGCATTACAATATCCTCTGATGAACTGCAGAAGAACAAAGCGGAACAATTTCGCAGCTTAATAAAAAATCCTAACATTTTTCGAGAAACATCAATAAAAATGTAAGATCACATCAATTTCCTGGGTATTGATAATGGTGCGAAATCAACAATTTTACTTGTACTGAATGAGAGGGGACCAAAATTGTTCAAAAAGCTTACGGCTCACGTGCCGTGGGAGGTTTTAATAACAAAATTCCGTGCGTGAACGGTCCCTAAAAGTATACAGAACAATTTTTGTTT